GTGTGTGTGTGTGTGTGTGTAAAAGCTTCAATATAAAACAGATCCCCCTTTCTTTGGATTTGAAACCTGACCATTTATGGACTAGATTTAGCAAAAATTAAGCTGTCAGTTCTCTTTGCTACTGCATGACTATTGATCTCTTTGAGAGAAAGTTTTGTTTATTTATTTATTATTATATTATTATTGTTCACAATTGCACTTCTTCCATATTGTTTTGTTATCTCTAAATATGGTTTGTTGTTTTAGGTTATTTAGTTTTTGTTTCTCCTCTCACAACCCTTTCTATACAAAGAGTTCATAACTCAGGATTGCACTATGTAAGCAGAGCTGTAGAGATGAGGGTTGGAGTGAAGTTGCAAAGTACTTAACAGAAGATGTTCTCCCCTTGCTTACTTCTGGAGATCTAAAAGATGTTGAAGATGTGTTATCAATCATATTTAAATCAGCACCTTCTGGTTTTGGAGATCTTATCAAGTGGATTGCAGAGGTTCGAAGACATGAGGATGATGGTATCAAATTAAGTGAAGAGGAGAAAGGAAGGCTAGCTCTCAAGGTTTCTTATTGCTTATTTATTTTTCTTTATATTTCATTGGACTTCTTATCAACTTCATCCTCTTTCCTCAGCACTTTTCACTTTACAGCTTCATGAATTTGTCCTTTTCCTCTTATTTTGTTTTACAACTTGAGAAGATTATAATGGATAGAGATAATGATTTGGATTTCAGGAAGAAGTATTGAGACAAATACGAGAAATAGAACTTTTCAAACATGTGACCAAATGGTTGGCTTTTGAGAGTTCAGGATGTAAAGCTGTTGGAGTTTCAGGTTGCAAAGACAGGTTACCTGAAGTATCTCTAAATGTTTGTTGTCAAGGAGCAGAAATTCTGTCTGGTAAACTGCGCTTGTCAAAAGAATCCTGCTGCAGGGAAACAAATATGAAACTTCTAAAAGGGGACAACAAAAAGCCTGTGACTGTGGTTTCAGGAACTATTATTACTGGCAGCAGTGAACAAAGAGTCGATATTCTGGTCCCATCTTCTCAAACAGTGCCTAGTAGTTTGTTTGATCCTGATCAAAATAACTGCAGTTGCATGCATCCATCACTTGGTGATGGTCTGACGGTCCTTTTATTGGCCTTGCCCCCTCATACCTGGTCCGGCATCAAAGATGAGAAGCTTCGGGAAAAACTGGAAGCTCTTGTAAACTCTGATACTCTCTCATCTCTACTTCAGGAGGAGGTAAGCAACATTATCCTTCAGTGTTTTTTCTTTCGTTGTTTTCCCCTGGTCTAATATTTTTTTCCCTTTCACCGGCTAATCTCTCCGATCTTTTATTCTTTTCATTTGCTTCTATTTATGAGCAAGAGAACTTTCAAGTTTTCAACAGAGGAATGGCTATTGCATGATATTTGTTCTAAAATAAGATAGAATGGAGGGCGCATTCGCAACATGATTTTTACCATGAATTCCTGGACTAATCTTCGAATCAGCAGAATAGCCTAAATTCTAGAAAAAGAGAGAAAGAAGCATAGATTTTGATTTCGATATCTTAATTTTGCAGGTTCTGCATTTGCAGCAACAGCTCCATTTTGTCGCCCCCTGCTTAATTTCTTCCTGAGTAAGTGAATATAAAGTTGGGTTGCATGAATTCTGGTTTCCTGGGTAATGATAATGAAGCACCTTAAACAAAAAATCACTGGTTTTCCATAAATTCTTGCGTATGTAAACTTTCATGACACTGACCATTTGCTCTCGTAGGCAATGCGACTTCTATTAATTGCCATGCCACTAGCTTTAAGAGAATGGAATTTTAATTTATGGCATATTGTCAAATTTTCTAATATTCTAATAATAGATTTTTTTTATAATTGTGAAATTTTTTTGATGTCAGTGAGCTTATTCAATGACAATGATTCATTAATAACTTTTGTTTATAGCAATTATATGATATCAATGGGTAAATGTGTATTGATTACAGTGCGTAAATGTTGTCAATAAATCACTTTTGTTTGGTTAACATATAGCATAGGATTTTTTTTCTTTTTTATTGGCAACATATAGTGTAACTCCAATGAGTTGGTTCAATAGTTAAGAATTTGAAATTTGAAGTTGTAGATCTTTAAGTTTGAACCATCCATATCACTTTTATTGATAACATTCCAAAAAAAAAAAGAAAAAACCAAAACAAAACAAAAACAAAAACAAGTTATATTTTAGATTACTAGAAGTGGGAAAGTAACGAGAAATGGAGCTCCAAACCGTTCCCTCACACCCAACTTTCAAAATCTGCGCCTAAAAATGATGACTCTTCGGCAGAAATGAATCAGGTATCGGAATTCAGAAGTTGGGAACTCTTTCCAATTCCACCTTTCTCCCCTTTTTCGGCTGTTTGGTTGCCCAGAAAGTAAATAATTTCCAAGGTAACAGTTTCTGCTAGGGGTCACTCTTGACACCTCCATTGATGACACCTAGCAGGTTGCGGAATCCAAATGTTGGCTGGAATCTTCATCATCTTGGGGACACTTTTCCTGAAAATGTATCAAGAACATAAGACAAGTGTTTGTAAGAGGGTTCCATTTATGTGGTTGTTTTAGAAGCTGCTGTCTTTGAATCAACCTCACATGCAGCATTATCTCCTAGGATTTTTAGGAAGCGACCTCTTGCCTGAAGGAGAGGATGGTGAAGTATGTCAGAACTGCCCAACTTTTCATGAGAGATAGGAGAGGAAATATCAAGAATTGGTTAAGTGAGACTGATACAGAGAATTAAAGAAAAGAAGTGAGTTGAGGCAGCGGCCTGAGGATTCTGATTGCAGCAAGAGCAGGGGAAGTGGGCACCTTGAGGATCGATGTGCATAGAATCCAATGCGGAGGACTTGCAATGGAAAGCTTGGAGTTCTTGGATGATGTCATCATCCTTGGAGGGTTTCATGTCCAGGGGGCAAGAACTCGATTTGTTGCACTCCACATCAGATGGGAAGCAGTAGGATGGGAGCTGCATAGGAGGAAAGAGCAGTGGACAAGAAGGGCGAGAGTTGGGAAGCAGAATGCCCGTTTTGTGTCAAATGAGTGTAAATAGTTAGTGATGATAGCCTTAGGGTGAATCCCATGATCGTCATTCAATTAGGGATGGCAATAGGTCCTACAGGGTTGAGGAATGCTTTCATTTGTGGGGATGAAAATCTTTGCAAGGATTTTTGACAGAGGCAAATTTTGCCTCGTGTTCTCCACCAATCATAATTTCAGGCACAGTTTCTAGATAACTAAAAATAATTTTTTCAAAAAAAATATTACGTAGATATGAAAATTTGAATTCACAAAATTAATTATAAACACACTTCAAAATTAATTATAAACACACTTCAAAATTAATACATTTAAAAAGATCTTCTGGCTCTCAATATCTCAAAATTCATTGTAAAACTTAAACCATGGAGCTTTGTTAAATACCATATAGCATAACTGATGATAAACTAAACACTTAATTTTAAATTAATCTACACTAATTCATTAAAACTTAGATTTATTACAATTAGATCTGCATTAGGTTTAGGTTGGGTTGGATTAGGTGAATTAAGCCAAAAATAACTTGGGCTTGAACCTTGAATTCCATTGTATTGTATTAAATTGAGATAAACTTAATTTTTTTTTTTTTTTTAAATTCCCCACATAAGCTCACGAGAGAAAATAATCATCCCCTCCCCCCTCCCCCCTCCCCCCTCCTCCGCCTGGAACCGCCCCGCCCTGCCCCGTAGGGATGGGGGAGGATTGCCATCCCCACTTTCAATTGCATTTCCAGTATAATTGTTAAGATGAAAAATATAGAGGCAATCCAAAATCTGCCAACTACTAGTTGGGTTGGTTCCTTGATGTACGAAAAAAAAGTACTTCGAGAATTGACGAGGATTAAGAGAATGAGAAGGAAATAATCCTGCACTGTTGTGTAATCCAATAATTAGAGGAAATTGAACGAAAAGTGCACCTGCAGTCAGCTCTTCATAACTAAACAGATTTTTATGGATGAAACTTTAATTATTTCCTTTTCATAAATTTCCAGCACCTGCTCCAAGTACAAGTCAGGTGAGTACATAGGATATTTAACAGATAAAAGAGCAATGATTGGATTAAAATGATATTGTCCACGCAAATAATAAGGGTAGATTTCAAACACAAAATAAATGAAAACAGCCACAGCATATAAATACCACAAATCTCTTATAACCAAAAAGCCAAATTTGAGGGCAGGAAAGGAACATTCCTACATCCTTCCTTTCTTTATCATTAACAAGATTCAATGGGTATTTTTCGGTTGTAAGATTCAATCGATTGATTGATTTATAAATACTGTGAAAATGTAAAGAAGAACAAAAACAGATTCATATGAGAACTTTCTTAACTGGATGAGGCTTGAACTGCTTTTTCTGCAGCATCATCCAGATCCTCGGCTGTTATTAGGGTCATTCCACTCTCCTGCAGGACCATTAGAAATCAATCAATATCCATTTGAGAATTTATTATCTTCCTTTTATTGTTGATCACTAAGACATTGTAAATTTTCTATCTCTGATCTTTAAAATTAAATCAGATTTCATATTTACCTTCAAAATTCTCTTTCCCTGGTCAACATTAGTGCCTTCGAGACGAACTACTACAGGTACCTTCATCGAAACCTATCACATGGAAGTCTTATTAGTGGAATTGAGGCAGTAAGAATTATTAATTTAATACATTGAGCAGAGTAAAAAGCTAACAGACTGCTTCATTCTGTCTACATCTCACCTGTTTCGCAGCATTGACAATTCCACTTGCAATAACATCACATTTCATGATACCTCCAAATATGTTAACCAAAATTGCTTTTACCTTCTCATCAGAAGTAAGTATCTTAAATGCCTCAACAACCTATTAACAGATTAAACAAAAATTAAAATAAGGCAATATCACTACAGGATAATAAAAAAGAAATAGTGATGTAATGAGCATCAAAAGCAAAACTTGAAAAGTAAAATTATTTACCTGGCCTTCAGAAGCATTACCACCTACATCCAGGAAATTGGCAGGAGTTCCCCCATGGAGTTTGATTATATCCATTGTAGCCATTGCTAATCCAGCGCCATTCACCATGCAACCAATTTCTCCATCCAAGCCAATGTAATTTAGATCTGCCTTGGCAGCAGCCACCTGTAACAAGAAGACAATGAATATTTGAGATAAATAGAAGCATTTAATTATACTGTGCATTGGAATTTACTTTAGGAAACAGGTCTCCAGCATATCCAATGCAGTGGCAGAGCGATAAGGATTAAAAGGGGATCAATGTGATAGTGATTAAAAGGGTATGCAATCAAACCTCTCGAGGATCCTCTTGTGTTGGATCACGGAGAGCAAATATCTCCTTTTGACGAAAAGCAGCATTATCATCAAAGTTCAATTTTGCATCAGCTGCCACAAGCTGGTTGTTAGAGGTCTCCACAAGGGGATTAATCTGTCAAAAAGAGTCAACATTAACAAAATAGTATCCGTCACTCACCAAAACACTAAAAGTGCATCTAATTGATAATCAAAAAAGTTACAAATAACAAAACAAGTGGCATAGCAAATAAAACATGCAGTCAAATAGAGATGTCCATGCTCACTTCCAATAATGTGCAGTCACATTTGCAGAAAAGTTCATATAATTTCTTCACTTGTTCAATAGAATCTTTTCTGTCTGCCACCTTTGGAGCCAACCCATCCACAACCTTAGCAGCATCTTCATCAGTAATTCCTTTGAAGACATCAATTGGTACCTAACAGAAATGAGTAATGGATCAGCTATATAACCATACAGCAGTGGTGATCAGTGGGCAATGATGAGTCTATGGTCATATCAAAACATCAAGCAAGATACAGGGATGATAACCTTAATAATCATGTCAGGGTATTTCTCTGCAAGGTCTTCTATGCTCGTTCCTCCCTTTCTACATGCAATTATTAGCTGAGAAACATGATGTGCAATAATACAAATAAGAATCTCCAACTTCATAAAAGTAATAAATATAATAAATAAAAAAAGAGAATACAATGAGTCAGTCACAGCACATGAAACATACAGGACCAGCAGTTTTACGATCCAGAGTGATAGCAAAGTACATCTCATTCACAACTGATAACTTCTCACACAAGTAAACCTGCAGAAAGCAAAAGAAGCAAAAAATAAATAAATAAAGAATCAAGAATCAAGAATAAAGAATAAAGAATCAAACAATTATCTCTCTAAGATGATAAAATTGTATTCTGAGAATTAGGAACTAGAAAAAAAAAAAAAAAGATTCTGAGAATAATTAAGGGAAGAAAGATTCTGATATTTATTTCTTAAAAACTTAAAGCTGAAACAATCGCAAAAAAGAATCACAGAAGTTTGACTCATATCCCTGGTTATTGTTTTAAAAAACAAGTGATTCTTAGAATAATTTTTCAATGCAATTACTAGTGTCAGTACTTTTGGAGCATATAATATCTCTCATAGGCAATAAGATGCACAAAAATTAACAGATAAGACTATAGTATGAATCCATGTTCAAGCATCAACCTAGGAAATATGAAAATAGTACCCTTTACCCCCTTCAAAAATTAGATTTTTGAATTTAGTGTAAGTTGTGCCCTCAAATACTAGACTAGTATACTACCATACTAGAGCCAAGACCCAGTAGGTATTGCAGCTAAATATCTCTGCTCACCATAAGAGACTAAGGCCTAAAATCTCTAACCCAAAAATAAAAAATAAAAAAATAAAAAAATAAAAAGAATAAAAATAGGTGGCCAAACCTTGCTGACAACTTTGCCTTGTGGACCAGTTTGCTTTGTCACAAGTATCTGGCCAAGCATCTTCCCTGCGCACATCAACAAACAAAATCTAATTAGAGGAATACCAAAGGAAAATAATGAACTTGGGGGGAGAGAGAGAAAGAGAGAGAGAGAAGGAACAGATATGCCAACATCACAATTTAAAGGATTAAAGGATTATCAAACCAAGTGGCCAATGGCACATGAATCAAAAGCTCCCAGCTATAGAAATAACAAAAAGAAAAAGCTACCATAAGCATTGATTGCAAAGTAGGAGGCAATGCATCCAATAGGGCAAGGATCAGTTCGATTGCTAAATCCTCAAGTCTGATTTTATTTAAAACAAGTAAGAGTGTGATTTATGTGATGCATAACCAATATTTTCTAAAGGATGCATGATGAATAATGTGAAAGTACAAATATTATTTTATATTCTCAAGCTAATTTACCATTAAAGAAAAGACTACATAACTTTGTCTACATAACCTTGTCTACATAACCTTGTCTTTCAATTAACAGAAGAGAAAACTAAACACACCCACAAAATAATACATATATTGAGTAACATGCATGTCTGCTGTTGTATGAGTCAAATTCTTCTACAGAGATAAAAGAAAACATCCAATACCAGCTATGTCTTCAACCTGGTCAGCCTTAACAATGTGAACTCCACCCTTAAATCCGCTTTTAAAGGTTCCCAAGCCTCGACCACCAGCCAAAACTTGGCTTTTAACTACCAGCTGCGTCAAATTCAGCGTTCATCAATTTCATCAATCATCCCCCGTTAGGAAATTTTAGATAGTTAAATACTCAGAACTGTAAATTACATGGATACAGAGCTGAACCAATATCTCAGTATTTCTTTCTAAAAAAACTTGTAGTAACCTTATTTGCACAAAATCAATAACACAGAGTTCTGGACTGACATGATTTCAAAAACTTACCTCATTTTCACCAGGGAAAACTTCCTTGATTGTCTTGTTAACTTCTTCAACAGAAAAAACAGCCACTCCTTTTGGCACATTAATCCCGTATTTTCCCATCAACTCAGCCCCCTGATTTCAAATAATATGCACAATTCATCTTTCAGCATCATGATCAACCAATACAAAAATAAACAGATCCACGCAATATTAAGAAACTGAGACAGAAAGATCAGAATGAGATATCGCAAGAAGAAAAAAAAAACGAAATAGCGAACAAACCTGATATTCGTGGATGTTGAGACGGCGGAGCTGCTGCTGCTGCCATTTTCCAGCGACGGTGAGCGAACGAGAGACCAGCTTGTTCAGTAATCCTCTCATTTCTCCTCTAAATTGAAGATTGACGAGTAAGAAGCTGCGATTTGAACGACGAGACCTTCAGCAGAGAGAAGGGTCTCTTTCGGCCGCAAGGAGGCTGGAGAGGCAGGCGATGGGGTCAGCGGAAAAGTGAGACAGGACCTAGATTCTTTTAATTCTTAAGGGTTAATAAAGCCATTATTCGTCCCTCTACTTTGATGTTTTTGATATTTTGTTCATAGCTTTTATTATTTTTTTAACGAATTGAAATTATTTACCTGTATTAAGTGGGAGAAAAGGAAAGGAGATCCGTATAATTTGAACACATAATCCACGAGAGTTGAATGGTGTTAACCCAAAATTCATACCAAAAGGTGGAAGCAGGTTGTTTGTTTATTGTTTATAGGTTTTTTAATTAGTTTGTTCAAGTAAGAGAAAATTTATATTAGTAATGGGTTTTTCTAATGG